CCTCTGACGTCTCCCCTATATCTACCTCCACTAACTTTAAAACTATGCCCCCTCGTAATAGCTATCTCCCCTGAAGGAAAAAGTCTCTGGCTGTCCACTCTACCTATACCTCTGATCATTTGGTACACCTCTATCAATTCACCTCTCATCCTTCGTCGTTCTAAAGAGAAAAGTCCTAGCTCCCTCAACCTTTCCTCGTAAGACCTTCCCTCAATTCCAGGCAACATACTGGTAATTCTCCTCTGCACCTTTTCCAACGCTTCCACATCGTTCCTGTAACGAGGCGACCAGAACTGGACACAATACTCCAGATGTGGCCGAACCAGGATTTTGTATAGCTGGAGCATAACTTCACGGCTCTTGAACTCAATCCCTCTATTAACGAAAGCTAACACACCATACACCTTCTTAACAACTCTATCCACCTGGATGGCAGCTTTCAGGGAACTGTGAACATGAACCCCAAGATCCGTCTGCTCCTCCACACAGTCAAGAATCTTTCCATTAACCCTGTATTCTGCTTTCAAGTTTGTCCTTCCAAAATGAATCACCTCACACTTTTCAGGGTTAAACTCCATCTGCCACTTCTCAGCCCAGCTCTGCCTCCTATAAATGTCCCTTTGTGACCTAGAACAGACCTCCACATGTCCACAACGCAACCCACCTTTGTATGGTCCGCGAACTTGCTAATCCACCTTTCCACTCCTTCATCCAAATCATTTACAAAAATCACAAACAGGAGAGGACCCAGGACAGATCCTTTTGGTATACTACTCGTAACTGAGCACCATATTGAATATTTTCCGTCCACTTCCACCCTTTGTCTTCTAAGGGTCATCCAATTCTGAATCCAATCTGCCACATTTCCCCCTATGCCTTGCCTCCTTACCTTCTGCATGAGCCTACCATGGGGAACCTTATCAAACGCCTTACTTAAATCCATGTATACCACATCCACTGTTCTACCTTCATCCACGTGTTTTGTCACCTCTTTAAAGAATTCAGTAAGGTTTGTGGGGCATGATCTACCCCTCACAAATCCATGCTGACTGTCACGAATCAAACTGTGCCTTTCCAAGTGATCAAAAATCCAATTCCTCAGAGCCCTTTCCAATAATTTACCCACCACTGGTGTAAGACTAACTGGCCTGTAATTTCCGGGTTTATTCCTATTCCCTTTTTTGAACAAGGGAATGACGTTTGCCTCTCTCCAATCTTCCGACACTATACCACTGGACAGTGAGGACGAAAAGATCATCGCCAAAGGCCCTGCGATCTCTTCCCTCACTTCCCCTAGAATCCTTGGACAAATCCCATCAGGCCCAGGGGACTTACTTATCTTCCAGTTCCTCAAAATTCCTCGTATATCTTCCTTACGAACATCGACCTCCTCTAGCCTACCAGCCTGTCTCACACTGTCCTCCTCTACAACTAGGTCCCTCTCAGTTGTGAATACCAAAGAAAAGTCTTCATTAAGGACCTGTCCTATCTCTTTAGGCTCTGTGCACAAATTCCTTTTACAATCCTTGATCGGGCCTACCCTTTCTCTGGTCATTCTCTTATTCCTCACGTACGTACAAAGCCTTGGTGTTTTCCTTGATCATACCTGCCAAGGTTTTCTAATGCCCCCTTATAGCTCTCCTAAGCCCTTTCTTCAGCTCCTTCCTGGATAACTTGTGTTCCTCTGGAGTCTTTTCCGTTCCTTGTTTCCTAAACCTTATATAAGCCTCCTTCTTCCTCTTAACCAGTCGTCCGACCTCTCTTGAAAACCAAGGCTCCCTCACTCGACCGCATCTTCCCTGCCTGCTAGGGACAAACATATCGATCACACGCAGTAAAACAATCTCCTTAAACAATCTCCACATTTTAGCAGTGTTCTTCCCTGACAGCATTTGTTCCAAATTTATGTTACCCAGTTCTTGCCTAACAATATTGTAATTACCCTTCTCCCAATTATAAACCTTATCCTGCTGTATGTACCTATCCTTTTCCATGACTATTGTAAGAGTAACAGATTTATGATCACTACTGCCAAAATGCTCTCTTACCAACATGTCTAACACTTGGCCCATATCATTGCCAAGCATCAAATCCAAAGTGGTCTCTTGTCGTGTTGGTCTATCTACATACTGTGTGAGGAATCCTTCCTGAATTCACTGGACAAAATTCGCTCCATCTAAACTATTACAACTAAAATGTTTCCAATCAATATTTGGAAAGTTGAAGTCACCCATGGCTACAACCCTGTGACTTCTGGACCATTCTAGTATCTGCCTCCCAATCCGCTCCTCTACTTCTATGCAACTATTAGAGGATCTTTTTAAAAAAAAAACAACAAAGTGACTGCTCCTTTCTTGTTCTGGACCTCAACCCAAACTGGCTCTGTGGACAGATCATTCTTGAATTGCCTTTCAGTAGCTGCTATACTAGCCCTGACTAGCAATGCCACTCCTCCACCTCTTTTCCACTCTCCCTATTTCTTTTTAAGAATCTAAATCCTTTTTTCAAACTACTTTTCTACTATCATTTCATGATCAACATATCTGTCCTGCACTTATTGATATTTTGCCAATTTGTTAAATATTGGATTAATATTTTGAATGTTATAAATCGTAGAACTCATTCCAGAATGTGTCATACTCCGTAGGATAATGACCAATGAATGGAATCTGTATTGCTGTCCGCTTCAACAGGATGTACATTATCAGTACAAATTAATTTCCCCTGCTCTCCGAAAAAAGGCGAATTTTGCTTAGAACAAAGAGATGACAGAACATTTAAAAAACATACGTTAGTTTTGTTTTCACAAAGAAGGACAGAAACAATGCCCCAGAAATATTGGGCAACGTAGTGTCAAGGCATTGAAGAAATCACTACTGGTAAGGGCATGGTGTGAGGGAAACTGATGTGAATGAAGGCTGATAAATATTTTAAGTCCGATAATCTACATCACAGAGTGAAGATGCTCTAGAAATAATGGATGCATTGGTGGTCATCTTACAAAATTACATGAAGCCTGGAACAGTTGTTAAGTGTTCGAGGATAGATCATGTTTTCTGTCTATTTTAGAAAATAAAACAGAGGAACAGGAAATTATACGTCAATCAACCAGATAACAACAAAGTACAAAATCCTACAATTCATTATCTAATATCTAATAACCACGCACTTGCAAAATGTGGCAGAATTGGGCAGACTCAGCATGGCTTACGAAAGGGAAATCATGCTTGATAAATGTACTGAAAGCCTTCGAGGACGTTAAGTTGATAATGGTGTTCGAGTACAAAAGGCCTACTTGAACGTTCACAATGATTGTGATAAAGTTCTACATAAGTGATTAGCTTGTAAAATTAAAGCAAGTGGATAAACCAATGGTGGCAGACATGGAACACAGACAAATAACAAATGGGTTTTGATGAGGTCATTGAATGTGATACCTCCAAATTCACAGATGATGCAAATCTCAGGAGGATTCAGAGGTGCGTCTATGGAATTCAGGCAAGTTGAGTATGTGGGCAAATAGACGGCAGATGAAATACAAAGTGGGTAAATGTGAGGTTATCAACTTTGAGAGCAGTCACTAAATGTAAGCATGCAAGTGCAACAAGCAGTGAAGAAGGTAGAAGATACATCAGTCTTTATTGCGAGGGCATTCACATTTAGGATTAGAGGTGGTTTTTTTTAACAATTATATAGGTCATTGGTGAGAAGACAGCGGGACTATTCTGTGCAGGTTTGATCTCCTTACATGAAGAATGACGCTCTGTTTATAGATGGAGTGCAATGGATGTTTGCCAGACAGATTCCTGGGATAGCTGGACAAGTGTATGAAGAACAAAAAAGATGGATTACGACTATATTCAGTGGGTGTTACAATAATTCGGGGTAGTCTTGCATATACTTATAAAATTCTAACAGAAGTCGAGAAAGTAAACGCAAGAAGAATGTTCCTGATGACTAGAGAGTTGAGAAACAGAGAATTACGGCTTAAGAATACTATTTAGGCAATTTAGGGCTATGATTTGGAGAAATGTCTTCACGCAGAGAGTAATACACCTGTGGAATTATCTGCCAAAGAATGCAGTTCACGTCATTCGCTGAATGTTTTCAGAAAAGAGTTATATATCGTCCATATAGCTAAAGTGGTCAAAAGGTATGGGGAGAAAGTGGGAGCAGAGTCCTGAGCTGAATGATCAGTCATGATTATAATGAAAATTGGAGCTGGCTGGATGTGTCAAATGGTCTATTCCTGCTCCTTATCTTTTTTTTAAAAGCTTCTGTATTCCTGCACTCTTAGTTCTATGCCTGATAAAAATTATTTAGTGTAGCCAGAAAGAGACCTTATGCCAAGGAGAATAGAGAATTGGAAGAATCTCCTCGTGGGTCTCAGTCTTGGCCTGGCAAGGTGAATATTAAATTATCTAGCCTGGGTGGCATAGCATTCGACGGCTGGTCTCCCTTCATAGCTAAATCTTAACACTGGTGTCTTTCAACATGTAGAAATTAGTTATGGGGTCCTTTTCTCCAGCAACATGAAGACTCGAACTTTATAGAAGAGATACAGAGAGTATGTTTCTATTTGGGTGGAAGGCCATGACTAGATAGTATCAACAAACGAAAGTCAGCACTATATCCAACTTACAATTCATTTCTGAACCCTTGTGCATGTGAGCGTAGGAGTGGGATGGGTCGGGGGAGTGGGGGCGAATGGGAAGAGGGTTTGGCGGGAGTGGGAGGGATGGTCGGAAAGAAAATGGGGAATCAGTTGCTATAGGTAACGGTTGATCTCTCCATTTCAATTGCTCCTGGGTTGATAGAGTTGATTCTGTGTACTATACCATGTGAAACACAGTTTGCTTGGCCCTCCAAGAACATACCGCTGCGTCCCTATTCGGTTTAGCAACATTTTTAACCATTTATTTTCATTCACGAGCTCTGATACGTCAAATTCAAGCCAGTCATTTCCTTCCTTCCTTTCTTTACTGTCTGTTTTGGAGTTGTGGTCTCAGTCAGAGGAACAGCCAAAGGGTTACTGCTTCACAATGCAGGTTTATTGTCCGAAACCCTTTATCCAGATGGCAGTCGTGTCAATTCTGCTTATGTTTGGTAAGTGCTTTTTCACTTCATTCTTATTTAAAGAGAAAAAAAAAAAGTGCCCATCGGATTTTTAATTGTTTTCATTATAAAACCTTGGTGGAAAGATTTAAATTATGGATATTCCATCTGGGCATTCACTGTTTTCAATACTGCAATTGTGCCCCCCGCTCCCCTCCTCCCACCCCCTTATCCCTTGCTCTATCTGGTTAATCCCCGTAAGTACTCATAGATCTAATCATCCTGTTCGACTTCCTCCATGGGGATCTTTACTTGTCATTAGCATTAGAAACCACTACAGCCTGCAGTATTCGTAAAATTCTCATCTTATATTCCCATGATCATGACCACCCCCTCTTGTGGTCTCTCTTCTGCCTATCAATTTCATTTCCCTGATGTTGTTCTATCCACATTAACAGTGTCTATTTCCAGGCAAGTATCTTTTCTTCTCGTCTTTCTGATTGTTGATTCATCAAAGTTTTGTCCACTGTCCTCATTTGAGCAATTCCTGTTTCAGTTTGCACCACAGTCGCTTGTTAGTCATTCAATGGACGAAAATACGTTCGTTTCCTTAACGAAAAGTAAAATTTAAATACACATAACAAATGCCTTATACTTTTGCTCTGGAAGTCATGTGAGAAGGCATAAAGAGAACTGTGAGAAAGTGGATTTAGTGTTAAAATGTAATCGTGTATTAGGAAAGTTTAAATGCAGTGTTGAACTTGCAATTTTGCAACAGTTCTGAAAATCAACAGTTTGCAAATTAGCAATTACTGTAATCTTGCGACATGACGCACGAGTTGGCATTTACCTGATAGGTGCTGACAGTTGTCTTCAAAATAATAATGTAAGAAATAAGAGCAGGAACAATCTTTCAGACGATTGAGCATTTACCTCTATACAGTATGTTGATGACTTAACAAGACGTATCTGCTGTCCCACTTGGCTACATTTTCATCAGAGGCATTAACTCCCTCGAAAATTAACAATCTACTCAACTCAACTCTGAATGAAGACACACCCGTTGTTTAGTTTGAAGATTTCCTAAGATTTACAGCCATCAAAATTGAGACATTCCTCCTCAGTTCCACCTAGAATGGGAAAGAATCCATTCTGAACTGGCCCTCCCTTAATTCGAGATTCAGTCACGAGAAGCGAGATCTAAAATAGCCTCTCATCAGGTCCCATGAGAAGCCGCTCCAGAAAGGTTTAAGTTTATATATCTTCACTGGTCATTTTTCAAAGCTTCAATTCCAAGGTTTAGTCCTGCTGACCGTTTTACTCTAAGCCAAATATTTTTCCTTTTTCCACACCGAACTCGACAGGGTGAAACCTTCCTGAAATACTTTAAAATGAAATACGTTCCTCCATTTATAAGGACAATAGAACAGCAACGGTATTGTGCTCTCACCAGAGTCCAAATGGCTTTCAGCAAGACTTTTCCTCCGCTTTTATCCACCATTCCGCTTCCAGTAGCTCGTACAATCATTTGTCTTTCTCATTAGTTGATAGTATTAAACAATTAACCCTTGTGTTCAAGGACAGATAGCTGAGCAGACACATTTTGTAGACCATTCTACAGAATTTCAATTTCATTCTCTCCCAGACCATATTTTTCCAGCCACGTCCTATACTGTTGGAATTTTAACAGTGCCTGGTGTGTGGAGAAAATATATTTTATGTTTTTTTGTTTCGACGCACCCGTCCCAAAAAAACCCGATATTTTATCTTAAATGTAGTATGCGTCATATTCTTAAGGGGACACAGCACACCATTATTCCTGTTATGTGTTTGACGAAACCCATTTCCATCTGACAGCATTTTAGTTTATTAATTTCAAATGCCTTTGCCAAAATAGAATTTCTATTTACATTCTTGAAAAAAAAACACATATTTTGTTCATGTTATTCTTTTCATTGATTCCTCCCTACAACACAACACCCAGTCAGAACACATGAAACTACTTCTCTCTCGCTCTCTCTCCCTCCGTCCTCTACTTCCTCCTACCCGGTGGTTAGTTGTTTTATTTCAGTTTGTTTCGTATTGAACATTCAAAGCTCTTCCTCGTTTTTTAACAGTTCTACAACTTTCGTTGCTTTTTTTTCCAGTTCCTTTCGAAACGCCAAAATCCGAACAACTCTTTTTAAATATGACTTAAAGCTCAGAATTTCTCTGCTTGAACTCTTTAAAGGCTTTCAATTTCCATGCCTCGTTTACACAATGGCATTGAACTTATAAAAGTTAGCAAATTCTTGAAATTAAGTTATCTGTATTAGTGATCATCTAACACTTAGGTAATAGCTGTATTCTCAGTGCCTCCGTCAGGTCCCCCACCATTCCACTGCTCAGCCGTTTTTTCTAATCTTGCAATTAGGTGACTATCTGGTTGTTAGAAATATCTTTGATTCCATCCTGTACCCGAAGCTGAACATTTCAAAATATTCTGCTCTAAAAAAAAAGAGAATTTCAAGGAAATCGAATTTATTTCAAAAGAGGCCAATGGGCATATAGTGCAAATCGGGATAAAGCTTTCTTTTCCACATTGGTGACTAATCTGTGGGATGTCACTGGGATCAGCGCTAGGACTGTAAACATTTACAATATATAGTATTGAATTGTAGGATATAATGGATGTACTGCAGTCAAATTTGCAGCCAAGTCCAAAATCAGTGAAATGAAATCTGCGAAAGGAATGCAGTTTACCGCAATATGTTGATAAATTAAGTAAGTGGGCAAAAACTTTGCCAAATGGAGTATAATTTGGGAAGTCGTGAAATTGCTGATTTTTGAAGACAGAGCAAACGACCAGAGAGTTATTTACCTGGAGAGAAAAAAAAAAATCTGCAGAAATCGGCAAACCAAAGAGAACTTGGAGTAGTTGTATACAGATAACAGAAAATGAGCACGCACATAAAGAGGCACATAAAATGTTGGCCCTAATTTTAAGTGAGTTGGAGTATAAGAATTTGGAGGTCTTACTGCAACAGTTGAAGATGCTGGTGCGACAACATCTGAAGAACTGTGAGAAATTATTAATTCTTTATCTACGGAAAGTATTTGGAGAAAGTTCAAAGAAGTTTGACGAGGATGATCCTTAATATTACGTTCTTGTCACGGAGGGAAAAGGCAAACAATTTGGGCCTATACTCATGAGAGTCCAGAAAACTAAAATGTGATCTCAATGATACAATTTGGATAATTTAAGCGCTTGACATGCTAAATGCTCAAAGGATGTTACCTTCATGGGAGAGTCTAGAACCAGAGAGCATTGTATCAGAATCCAAGGATGTCTACATAAAATTGAGATGACGAGGATTTTATTTTTCCCTCAGAGAGTTGTGAGTCTTTGCAACTCTGTGCCACAGACTACTGAGAACCAGACTCATATGTATTTAAGGATGAGAAAAATAGAACATTGATTAGTCGAATAATCAAGCGTTTTGGGAAAAGGGCAGGGAAGTGGATGCGAGGAACGTCTGATCAGCCATGATTCTATTGAGTGTCTCAGCAGGCTCCAGGGACTTAATGGCTTACTACTGTTCCCATTTTTTTTTTTTCGCCTGAGCCAATTAGTTTTCAGTCAATATTGTTGGTCATATACAGAAAACGTATACCACTTTATATGGAATCCTTGTTTACATTACTGGCCAATATTCAGTTAAGTTGATTTTGACAATAAATTCACCGAGTTAGGAGTGCACTGCGTTGTTTGTTGTTTAGACAGCCCTCATAGCTATTATAACATTGGTTGATTTCTGAAGAGAAGTCACTGGACAGGAAATTTTATCTCTGCTTTGTCTCCTCACATGCTGCTAGATCTGCCAAGGTTCTCCAGAAATTGATGCTTTTGTTTGGGATCTTCACTTTCTACAGTTCTTTGCTTTATCACAGTATTAATTATTGACACAGCAGTATATAGAGCCCACTCCCCAATTTTGTGTAACTTGCACATTTGAAAAGCTTAATAAAGTAATCCCATTGTTTCTTCTATTCTCATTTTCGCCGCTTTCACACATATACAGTTCTTTCCGTGAAACACCCGAATGAATATACTTCACAGAATTTCACACAATGCAGTCCAAATACGTATTAGCTCGCTGCATTAAAATGTATTAACTTCCACCACCTCCAGCTTCATTTCCTTCCATGCTGCTTCCAATCTTAAATAAACAAAGATCAGAAATATGCTTTAGCAGCAATTCTTGAATAGCCAGTTTTATCCAAACAATTCGAACTAAGATCTTCACTGATGTATTTCATTTTCTGTGTGATCTATTGCAGTGGTTTCGCTGGATGCTCAAGACGGTAAGTAACACATATTTTCTATTGGTGTTTTATTAATACTTGTGTTTGTAGGACATGTTTAAGTACTGACAATGGTAAATCAAAATCAAAAACAGTCAGTTCAGATCAAAACCCTTGAACAAAATATAATTACATCCAAGGACGACTTGAGTTCCTTTAAGCATATCGAACAGCTGTACCTAAAATAATGGAGGACAAGGAAATGGTCAATATAAAGCGGCGGTTCCCCGTAGTTTAAGCATTAATGTTAAGGAAATGCAAATTTTGAATGAAATGCAATGGGTTTAAAGGGGACGTGAGAAGATTTATTTCACCCAGAGCGTGGAAGGGATTTGGAATGCATTGCCTGGAAGTGTCGTTAATAGTGGTGATCTCACAATCCTTAAAATGTACTTGAATGAACACTTACGTGTCATAAAATTCAAGGTTGTGGGCTAAGTGCTGGAAAGTGAACTTGGTGTAGTTATGCTTTATTTTCAGTGATATAGACTTGACAGGCAGAAGGACATTTTCTGCATTGTTCAATCCTATGCTTCTATATTTTCTCCTCAGGGAGACCACATAGCTCTCTGCTTCCCCCACCCCCTATTCCCCGACCAAAAATGTTATTAAATTCGGCTGCACTGATTTTTACATAACATCCGTGATCTTTTTGCCTCCATGAGATGAATCCTCAGTTCAGTGTTTCTTTTCCAAATGGCATCAAAGATACAGCAATAGCCCCTAGTAATTGCACTGCCATTGTTCAACTGAATATTGCTCCAGGCTTACTCGAGCTTTCAGCCGTCCAATCCTTGTTTACACTCGAAAAGCAAAAAAAAATGTTTTCCTTTAAGAGTTCATACTTCCTGTCTGCTCTCAGATGAACCTCAATGGAGTAAAGAAATCGCTGATTTCCAAACGACTATGGTGTTAGCCACTGATGAATGACAGCAGAAGGCCAGTTGGCTCATTGTGCATCTGCTAACTCTGGATTTTTTTTTTCATTGGACTTGTTGGTTCTCAGCTATTTAAAAACTGTTTATTTTCTGCTCAATATAAATACTCGTGCAGTAAAATTTATCTACTGTGTTCTAACTGATGGGTTCATTAATCTGTTTGCATTTCACCTGATCCATTGCAAGTGTTGTAATAGTTCTCAAAATTTGTTAATATTGCATTTTACTGCAAACTAAGAATAAGTAATGACCTTGGCTTATTGTGAACATTGACGCATGGATAAAATTGAAATAATCCTCAATTATAGTGGTTAAGTAAGGACAGAAATTATGACATGGTAGCAATATTTTGTAGCCATTACAGCCCAAAGTCTTTCTTCTTGTGTGCCCTATTCATGTTCCTTGTAATTTGACAGATCTTAATCATATCCCCTCTCAATCCCCTCTGCTATATGGAAATCGAACCCAATCTGTCTATTCTCTCTCATAACTGAAACTCTCCAGTCCCAGCAACGCCTTTTTAAACATCTCTGACCCATCTCCAGTGCTTTCACATCCTCCTGAAATGTGGACTTCAGAACAGTGCATAATATTCTAGCTGTTGCCTAATCAACTTTTTCTAAATTTTGTGCCTCTGCCAACAAAATAAATTGTGCCATCTGCCTCCTTAACAACATTATCCACCTGCCTTGATACCTTAAGCGTCAGTGTCGAAGCAGACCAATGCCTATCTAATCATTGTTTTTTTTTTCCCACATGGTTGTACAGCTCAGCATATATTCCTTACCTTCTTTGCCATGCCAAGAGTATGTCCTCACCTTTTTTTTCTGCGTTGAATTGAATTTGGCAGTGATAAGCCCATTTGACAAGCCTGTGTATATCTGTCTTTAAACTAAGGCTACATCCTCAACTTTTAGAATCCTACCATTTGTTTTATCACCTGTGAAAATATTGATCATCCGTCTTACACGGAAGTGTAAATCATTTCTGCAAACAGCAAAAGCCCCAACACTGACCCCTGTGGGACCTCCTAACATTATCTTCAAGTCGGAAGAAAAACACCCTTCAACTATCATGTTCTGTTTCCTGCAATTCAGCTAATTTTGTGGGTCAATTTTGCTAAATCTCTTTGGATCATTTGTGCTCTTACCTTCATTAAGAGTCTCTGATAGAGAGTCTTGTCAAAAGACTTGTTGATATCCCAGAAAACTATATAAAAGGTATTTTCCCTCATCACCACAACTGGTCAACTCTTCGAAAGATATTAAATTCTCTGCCTCTCCAAATGCAGATCAATTCTGCCTCTCAGTATTAGTTCCAATGGTTTCCTATCACTGAGATTGGACTCACTAGCCTATAGCTGTCTCTTTAATTATATCTTCTCCTCTTGAATGTTGGGACCACTTTGACTGTCCTCCGGTGCTCCTGTATCTCTCCTGTGGCTAGACAGCAACTGAAAAATTTATATGTCCCTCACTCAACAAAGTACGATACATTTCATTCTGTCCTAGATTATTTTTTTCATATTTAAGCCTGCCAGACCACTCAGAATGTCTTCAACGTCCATTCTAATATAATTTAATATCACAGATCTGCTCCTTGATTTCAATACCGTATGATCTCCATGACTGGTGAACATCAGTACAAGGAATCTATTTAGAAGTCTACAAACATCCTTTTGCTCCCTGAACTAATCATAAGACTCTTGATGGGCCTTTTTCTTTTCTCTCTCAGTATTCTTTTACACTTAACATACCTGTAAAAGTATTTGGAATTTCTTTTTTTTGCACCTGTCCGTATCTATCATATAACATTTTAGCTCTCCCAGTATCCTTTTCAAATTACCTTGAGCACATTTGATAATTATCTGGGCCTTTTGCTTTTTTAATCACTAGGTATCTTCTACAAGCCTGCTACTTTTCTCTTAATCCAATACTGTACATCCCTCAATATCCCGTGTTCACAATGTTTGATGCTTGCATCCTTTTCCTTTATTGGAACGAGTTGAATTTATGCCCTTAATTATTTCCTTCTTGCATGCATCCTACTCTTCTGAAGCGGATTCACTTGGAAGTCCAACTGCTGGCATCGATACAAATACAGGTTTAAAAGTCTGCCTTGTTCCTACACTTTATTGAAGTCAGTGCACATTTAAATCATTTGGGGTTAAACTCGGCTGCAAACGTCTAAGTAACCATCTTAGAAAATACAGGAGAACATTTTCGTTGTGGAGTAAAACCAGAAGAGTATGCAATCATTTCCTCGGTTTCTCGCTTCACAGGTGCTGTCAAACCTGTTCAGTTTCTCCAGGATTTCCTGCGGTCGTTTCGGACTGGAAGCATCTGCATTCTCTGCTTAACACCAATGCAATGTGCTCTATATCCTGCGAGATCTTTAGTTCAGCATTGTGCGTGGATGAGGTTGTGGATGCAGCAATAATGACGTTGACACATGAATGGTTATATCATGTCTACCAGGTTTGACGTTTTGTTTATCTTTCAGTTGAATTACCCCAACCAACCATGACTCTAGACCCACCGTTGAAGGTAATTCTACCAGGAGAGGAATTTTTGCTGAGTTGTCATTTCCCTGTCACGCTCTGCACTGTTGAATTCTACAGGAATTACACGCAAAAAATCTCATTTAGGAATCACGTGAGCCACAGTGCGTCCATTAAGAATGAGGAGAATGTAAAATCAATAGGACGCAATTCCTACACTTGCAAATATGAAAAATTCTTTGATAACAACAAGACTTGGGCATATTCACCTCTCAGTCAGCCTATGGAATTAACTGTAACAGGTAAGAAACAATAAACCACATTCTGAATGGAATAGCATTACTAACAATAAATGAATGTACCACAGTGGAGGATATCCAACAATTCTGCATCTGGGCTGTTTCTTTAAATTTTGTCTTCCCAAATCATCCTCCTCCTCCAATTTTTACATACAACCCCTCTTTATTTGTTTTTCAACAATGTATTCGAGTACATTTTTGAAACGTACCATTGGATCTAAGTGACTTTCCATATTCAGCCCACCTATTCCTCAGTGCCAGCTCTGCTTCCTTTGCATATCACCTTTACTCTGTGTCCCCTTCTAATTCCAAATGTCCAATCAATGGGAAACGTTCTCATTTATCGCTCCACACCAACGTTTCTTTACCCTGAATATGTCCATAATACCTGCCACCAAGCCTTCCCTTCTTTAAACAGACCATCTTGTCAAATCTCATCATCAGAAAAACATGTGCCATTCCTGCTACCATCGAACTGAAATTTCCCTGCCCCGTTTCCAGGCATACCTTAAGTTCTGCTTTACCTGCTCATGTAAGTTGGTGGTGAGTTTGATTTTCTTCCTGTCTATTGCTTTTGTTGCAGATGTGATTCCGAAACCTACAATCTCTTTGGAACCGGCCTCAGGTGTGGTGACAGTGGGGGGCCAAGTTCGTATTAATTGCACCAGCAGCTACCCAAGCCACATCGCCCACTTGTATAAAAATAATAGCAGAATTGCTATATTTACCAAGAATGTTTCTGACTCAGGGCAGACAGTAAGCTTCACTATTGAAGACCTTGAAGCACTGGATAGCGGAGAATACAGCTGTGGTTTTGAGAAAACTTTAAAAGGCATAGAATACATTTCATCCCGAAGTGACACTGTGCAGTTGAATGTTACGTGTGAGTAATGTGTTGTTGAAATGACGTTGGTCTCATCATACTCGCTTTATTCCAACTTTTGTAGAGTATGAACTGTTTCATTATGTATATCTGCTAAAATGCCTTGGGTGCTTGCAGTTGTGTTGGAGATTAGCAAACTTAATTTTCTAGACAGTTGGCTTGCGATGCACAGTATTGCTAATAACATAGGTTCAATTTCTGCAACAGCCGAGTTTAACATGAACATTCCTCTTCCCTAGCTTTCCCTTCCCTTGAAGTGTAGCGGCTGTCAGGACAGACTGCCACCTGTGGTCTCCCTCTCTCTAATGAGACAACCATTCTGTGGTTCAGCCGAACGATGTAATATGAGGAAAATGTTTGTTGACTAGTCAGCATTCTTGGTCATCGAGATAAAGTATTATCTATCTCACTGAAACTTGGAATATGTTTCAAGTGTTTGCAAGAGTCGATTATGAGAAGTTGTTTCCCTTGATGAGAAAATCATTTGTCTGTGTTTGTGTGTGTGTATGTGTGTGTTCATGCAGTTGGGGCTTTGGGAAAATGACTGGTAGACCAGTCCCTGGATTAGTTTTCTGTGAATCTGGACTTGGAGTCGAAGCTTGTAACATACTGGTAAACCCCACTTGCACACTGTTAGTTCAAACATTGTTTCATTTTTTAGAATGAGGGGGCACTTCATAGAAACATATTAAATCCTGATGTAACTGGGCAGGCCTGATGCAGGAAGACTGTTCCCAATGTTGGGGAGGTCCAGAACAAGGAGCTATAGTCTAAGAATAAGGGGTGAGCTATTCATGACTGAGATGAGGAAGAAAGTATTCACTCAGAAAGTTGTGAACCTATGGAATTCTCTGCCGCTGTTGGGGCCAATTCATTAGGTATATTCAAGAGGGAGCTGGAAGTGGCCCTTTCAGCTAAAGGGCTCAAGGGGTAATGGGATAGCGTAGGAATGGGATACTGAAAATGCATGATCGTATTGAATGGTGGTGCAGTCTCGAAGGGCAGAGGCCTGCTCTTACGCCTATTTTCTATGTTTCCATAATTCTATGTCACAACTGTTCCATTGCTTTGAAAAAAAAAGTGAAATGCAAAAAAAGTGAAATGCTGCTTGAACTTAATTCGTTATAGACGACATTTCAAAACCAACGATGCACATGGAGCCATCCTCTGGTATGGTCAGCGTGGGCGGACGGGTTCAAATTACCTGCAATGCAAGCTCTCCAAGCCTCACCAGCCATCTATACAGGAAACATGTCAACAAACCTATTGATACACAGAACGTCTCAGAGTCCGACTGGTCAGTCACATTCACCATTTCGGACCTCATACCAAATGATGCTGGGGAGTTCAGCTGCAGTTTTATGAAAATGGCAAATGGAGAAATATATGAAACATTACGTAGTGACTTTGTGAAGATCGCTGTAACTGGTGAGTGATATGTTCATTGAAGTATCTTTGTTTCATATTTTACAAAATTCCCAATTTCAGTATTTTATAACTAATCAATCCGAATTCCATGGTCTGTATGTTCACATTTACATAATGGCTTTCATTGTAACCATTAATTGCTCGTTGTACAACATGACGGTGTCTTTGCATAGTCTTGAAACATATGAAGGCCTAAGAATTCCAGACAACTCAGCTCCATCTTTCTGCGTGGTTTCCAGGAAACTGTTCGTTGACCACATGCCAACGTAAGGTTGCATGGTGTCAATTAAGTTCCTGCTTGATCAGTGCCCGTTATTGTGGATCTGAAGACATTTTAGTCACTTTGCACTTTTGAAGTAGTTTCACCTCTTGGCTTATGCTGTTCCATATGCAATTTCAACATTTGCTGATTTTAGCTTCCACTCTATTTATTTTCGACAATATAAGGACTGGGATCTCACAATAATCTCACAATAAAGAACATTTGTCAATATGCCCCGTTGCGAGGCTGGATCCAGGACTATTTCAACTAGATGTACAATGTTCTTTTACGGTTTTAACATCTGTTTAACAGATTGTAATATAACCAAAGGAAGCAGCAAGAGTACATTTGTGTAGTCTAAGTGTGTTTATATCAGGAATTATGCTTAATAATGGCTGGAATCAAATTTCAGCAGACATCATGGTTGGGCGCTGATGTTTTCGGCAGTGAGGTATAGTAGAATTCTCCGACATTCTTAGAGGATGATCGCTGGAAGGGTGTGCCCTCAAACATCCACCTACATACCCCAACTTCAGTCTGCAACCTTTGAATGTAAATTTTAGAATTGATGGATAAGGCGATGCATACCATCACTGTCACAACATAATTAAATTGTGTCTTTGCGAGTATCATATTAGCAAATCATCATTGCAGTTCAAATTCAATTTGCTGATCTTTGTTTTCTGCTTATTTACTGAGTGCTCATAGAAGTTTTATTTTCCTGTAATCTCACTTTTTGTTAATTACAGATGAGCTCCCAAAGCCAATGGTATCTGTGGTGCCAGCTTCTGGCGTCGTCACTGTGGGCGAGAGCGTTCAGATTAAGTGCAGCAGCAGCTATCCCTGCCACACCTCTCATTTGTACAAGAAATATGAAAAGAAACCCGTTGATGCACGGAATCTATCAGATTCTGAACTATCAGTCACCTACAATTTGACAGACCTTCAACTAGTGGAGACTGGGGAGTACAGTTGCAAGTTTGTAGCAACTGTGAAAGGGGAAGATTATGAATCATCCCTCAGTGACTTTATGAAGATCAATATAACTGGTGAGCATGATATTATTTAACACACCCCTGAATGTCATTATTGGAAAAAAAAATTATGGAAGCAACATTTTATATGTATGTGCCATCTAACTTTATGGCCCACAATTAACATCTGTAGTAGCTTCTTAATGCAAATGTTTTTATCACGACGTCACATCTGACAGTGTGTTTACAAGTTCGATGAGCAGCACTGCGTGTAATGACTCCCTCCGTTGGTTGGTTTGGTTATATAAGGAAATTGCCTCTCTCTGCTCAGAAAGGAAATCATTTCTAAGCTCAAGTCTTATCGTACACATATTGTCCTCCGACAGTGCAGCATTCCTTCAGTGTTGGCCCCACGCGCAGTGTGCCTGGTTGATGGAGTTGAAGCTTTAGTGTATCTGCATCAATCTTCAACATTGCAGGACTCCATCAGTACTTCCAAACAAAGGCATGGGGATGTCAATGCAGATTAAGGACTTTTGGTCTGTGAAAATTTTCTATCCGATGTCAGAATATTATAAAACTCATAAATCCACACTATTGATCCAAAGCTGTCCCGTGTGACTCCCATCTGATTCAGAGAGCCCACCAAAGTATTTTTATCCATTAAACTCTGTGTCTTTCCAATTTCAGATAATTTGCCCAAGGCAATCATTTCTGTGGACCCACCGTCTGGGGTGGTCAATAGAGGTAAAATGATTCGTTTGACCTGTTCAGGATCCATTCTGAACTCTGGTGGTTGGTTTTACTTCTACCGAGATGGCAAGCGTAAATGGTCACGGACTGTACCAGGCTCGGCTCAATCAACCTCTTTCTCCATTGGTGGCAATACAAGAGTTGGAACTTGGAAATACAGCTGCAAATATGCGAGAAAAGTAAAGAAAAACACGTATTATTCACCAAAAAGTGAACAGTTGCAGGTAACGGTGAGAGGTGAGTGACAATGACCAGTTAACCGTAACATGATCTGACATGTTCTCATCAATTCAATATATACTCTGAAGAATACTGAGGACTTCTCTCACCCCATCTAAACGCGTCATTCTTCTCGTGTTATATCCAAAAGCCACTGTTCTCCGACCCCGAGATGAAAGTTTCTGATTATAGCTCCCTGAGATATCCAGTACCAACTATTCAACTTCAAAAATTTTACCCGACTCTGTCCTTGTCTTTGTTCATCAGCTGTTGATGTCCTCATTCGTACGTTTCTTTTTAGTCTCTGCTTAACCATTATATCACTGCCTGGATGTGCTCGATGTGTGTAGTCTTCAGCTTCTCCTATCCTGCTGTACAAAATCCCAACATTTTGTAGACAAGAAAACATCTTTCCTTAGATCAATAACATTAACAGCTCTGGGTCCAGCAAGGTCAAGATATTAAGATTGTACTCTTCCTTTTTTCAGAAAGATACATCGCCTCCAATGCTTAATATATTTCTTCTTCTTAAATCCCCAACAATTCTCCTTCTCCAGTTCAAATTTCAACATGCCCCCTCATCCATCTTTCTTGTCACTTTGCAAACATTTTCTGCATCTTACTTTTTATTCCTCCTGTTGCTTTATATGTTTTTTTTTCAATATCTGAAATCTCCTCAATTTCATAAATGCTTATCATATACTCAAGTATCTCCATTGTCCCCTCAAAGCTTCGCTAACTCTATAGCATCTTTCAGACCTTGCATTTTTCATCTCCATTCCAAGTCTCTCAATTTCCCCGCCTCCCTCTATTGCTTTATATTTCCTCCAAACTCGACAGTTTTCATTCTTATGTTTAAAAATTCGATTATTCTTCGACCCCACCTTCTATCTGCAGGTTCCTACAGTCCCTACACTTTTTATTCTCCTATTCAAATGGACCCACCTTGACCCTCACCCTCTGTGTATCTCCATGTTGGCCGATCCAGACAGAGGGAGGATGCGAGGGACCATTGAGTAATCTGAACATGAGAATGAGATTTGTATGAACTATAAAAGTGATTTCAAATGGGTAGGGGACCGTGGAGGAGTGGAAGAAGGAAAGTTGGAAAGGTCACTTACCATTTTCGGTGGGCAGGAGAAATCTCTGTTAATTTTCTTCTCTCTCTTTGCATTTTTATAGATGGCAATGGAGCATCCAATGTGTGTTTAAGTCCTTCGTATCTACTTGGCTTCGTACTATCTGGGAGTTTAATTATCCTGCTAACAGAATAAACCCATCCCAGAGATACACGATTAACACAGATATTGCCTAGGATCCCTTTTTTTTTTAACAGAATAAGGTCAATTATGAATCCGCTGCAAATTTTACCTAATTGAGCAAATGAACAGAATTCTCTCAGTAATCAAATGCCAACAAAGTGATTGCATTCTATCCCGCTGCTAAAGATTCAATCACACAACAAACATTGTTCATAAATGGAGCACATAATCTGCACAAATGCCGAGCAAGGGAGATTTCCAATAAGAGGCTATTTCAGCACATTGGCTTTCAAAGGCGTTGCCATCACCTAAAGTCCTACAATCAACATCCTCGACTTTACCGTTGAATGGGCAATGAACTGAACTGGCTATATAAATGCAAGGGCTACAAGAGAAGGTCAGAGGCTAGGAAAACTCAGTGAGTAGCTCACCTCCTAAATCCCCTCGGCCTCTCTCTTTTCCACAAGGCAAAGACAGGAGTGAGATAAACAACTCCCAACTTGCCAGAATAGGTACAGCTCCGTAAACTTGACTTCACAGCACTGAGCACCACTGAGTACCAGCAGTGTGCACACATGTTTAAGATGCACAGCAGAAATTCGCTAAAGGTTCTTCAAGCGCACCTGCCAAATTCACAGGCACTTCCATTTGAATGGACAAGGATAAAGGTACATTGGAGCAGAAAACAAACCCGCAAGTTCCCTACCAATCCTGCACCATTCGGACTTGCAATCATCTCGCCATTCCTTCGCTTTCATTGAGCCAAATTCCAGGAAATCCTTTCCTTGTGCCATTGTGGTGTCACCGTGACGATACGTTTGCCCACACACAAACAAACAGTGAATGGAAACATATTGATTGAATTAATAGGTACCATCTGTCCGTTTCCGTCCAGCAAATTTGTCAGTTTCATAGTAGAATCATGTTATGTAAATGACACATGCTAAAATTCAATGACTCACCAAATGACTGTTCGGGTGTGGAGTGGGGGTGGGGAGTGGTGGAGTTGCGAAATAGAGTTCACAAGTACCTCTAAGTAGAATCCTACGCTAAAATAATAAAAGATAAATGTCCATTAACTGAACTATACAATTCCTTGTGATTCTCGCAGACAAGATGCCAAAACATTGTTTGCATGACCTATAATCACTATTAGCCAGAAATTCAAACTGTGCTCATCTATTCAACCACGATAATCACATGGTCTATCACTGACTGATGAAAAGAAATTGCTGTTTTTTCTCTCCCGACAACATGGCCTGGAATCTCAATATAGTGGCAGCAAATGAAAATGCATGCCTGGAAGAGGCTCTTAAACAGAGCAGAAACATTTTAATGGTGATTTTTGTTGGCATTTCATTATTGCAGGATATGTCGTTATTTGTAAAAGGCCCATAAAATAGTTAAAAGCTCAATAGTATTTTCTTACAGAGCTCCACACGGCACAGGGATCTAAAACTTGTGCCATTACATTGACATCACAAACTTGAATAGGAAGTGACCAACGGGAAAAAGCAAGATAAATCTTCCCACAGAATATCTGTGCAAAACAAACAATGCTGTATGATCAGAAAAGTTGTGCCCTGGGGAACATTTATTATATTTGTCACGAGCTACATGCTCGACGAAAGTCATATTGAGTTTTGGCATAGTATCACTTGCTGAGCAGGCAATAATTTACTTTCCATTTTGACAATTTAGTTTACTGATGTATTATATTATATTGGAAGAAATGATGGGGAGGCTGCACTGTGGATAATGCACGAATAGATATGTTTTTCGAGAAACGTGTTTCGAGAAATAATACACTGCACCTCATTTTTTTCTTAATAACGATTATATATTTGTGCAGACTCGATGTCCTAAACGATTTTTTACTTTTCCTGTGCTATAGGCGACTACCTCTTTTCATTGTTTTTTTTAATTTTATGGACTCTCCCCCGATCCAAAACTTTCATTTCCTGTCCAAATTCCTTGATTGTCCCTCGACTCCCTCCATATTTTGAAACACAAATAGAATTTTCTGGTAAAATTCAGCAGCTCTGGCAACATCTATGGAGAGAATCAGCGTTAAAGTTTCGAGTTGAGTGACAATTCCTTTATTTTTTTTACACCTGCTTGTTTAAAAAAAAAAGATTGCAGCCTTTCAAACTGAAATATAGAAGCTTTACAGTCGATATAGAATGCATTTTTATTTGTCCATTTATTGTTGAAGATAAAAGCGCTGAAATAGTATTTCTGCTACCTGTGTTGATTTTGCTTCAGCAGGTTATTCTTTTACGTGATGTAGTTTCTTTTTTGTCTATTAAACATTGATGTTCCTTTGTTAAAATCCAGTGAAATGTCTCGTTTGAACTTGTTCAGAGACTTGCCACCTTGTTATTCAAATCGCAAAAGTAAAATGTGATCTGATTTATCATTGTCACATGTTGACTTACGTGCAGGTCATACAGTACAAGTGCATCGGAATAACAGAACAGACTACAGGAGACAGTGTTACAGCTGCTGATAAGGAGTAAGGAGAGATCAACAATAACATTAAAGGGGTCCAATCAAGAATCTGATAATAGTGGGAAAGAAGCTGTTATTGATTCTATTCACAGCGAATATAAACTTTTGTATTTTCTGTCTGCCAGAAGTGGGTATAAGAAGGATGGGAGATGTCTTTGATTATAAATCAAAGAATCCCTACAGGTTGGAAACAGGACCTTCGTTCCAATAAGTTGGCACCAATCCTTTGAACACCCCACCCAGATCCATCCCCCAATAAACCACCTACTCTACACTTTGGGCAATTTATCATGGCCAATTCCACCTAGCCTGCACATTCTTGGGCTGTGGGAGGGTATTGGAGCACCTGGGGGAAACCCAAACAGACACGGGAGAATGGGCAAACTTCACACAGACGGTCACCCGAGGGTGGAATTGAACCCAGGTGCCTGATGCTGAGAAACAGCAGAGCTAACCACTGAGCCACTGTGCTGGTCCCCTGTTAGCTGCTTTACAAATGCAATGGAAAATATACATGAAATCGATTAATGGGACGCTGGTTTGCATGATGGACTGATTTGATTTAAATGATTTTATTGTCAAGTGTATTTTGCAGTAAAAATACAGTAAATACAGTGAAAAACCTTCATTTGTCGCCCAATACGGCACCATAATGTACAATTTAAGAATGAAGGAGAAAAAGGAGGAAGATATAGCTTAAAAACAGTCTAACAGTCCTTAGCCAGTTTATTACCATCAATGACGCCTGTGCCACCATCCCTCCAACACTGCTTCGCTACCATCGACACTGGAACCAACAGAAATCGAATTCGCCAATCTTTGGCCGCGCAGCCGACATTCATCTTCTTCCTCCTCTTCAGTGCCACCCGCACCCAACATTGGAGTCACATTTCTCGCCACTGGGCCCACCTTGGTGTCGCTCTAATGCCTATCCACAACAGTTCATCAACGTCAGTTACAGATGCCCCGGCTTCACCTTTTGCTGCTGGACCTATCTCGCTGACGTCACCTCTGCCAATATAGCAACCACCATTTCTGATGCCAGGACCTCTACACGTCCTGGAAAGTAAGGGCTCATTGGATGGTTATGCTGCGCTCGCTCTCCTACTCAATACCCACGCTGGGCTTAAACAATGACTGTAGGCTGGGCTTTGTTCACAACACTCTGTAGTTTCTTTCAGTCTTAGGAAGAGCCATTGCCATAAAATGCTGTGATGAATGCAGATAGAATGCATTCTATGGTGTATCTATACAAATTTGTAAGAGTTTTTATAGACATGCGAAAATTCCTTAGCCTCCTGAGGAAGTAAAGGTGTTGCAGTGCTTTCTGGACCTTAGTGTGAACGTGTGTGTACCGGAACAAATTGATGGTGATTGTCATTCCCAGGAACTTGACACTTTTGACCATCTCCACGTCAGCACCATTGACGCAGACAGGGATGTGCCCTCCTTTCTCTTTCCTGAAGTTAATGACGAGCTCATTCGATTTGCTGACTTTGATGGAGGGATAACCAATGAAGGCAGGTATCACTGTCCAATTCATATTAATTAACGAATCACTTCAGAGATTTTTTTTTTTTTTGCATTTCTTTAGCAGGTGCAATTGAATTCAGGTCATTTCACTCAGAGGTAGGAACACTATTATTGCACCACAAGAGCCAGCCCTGCACTGAGCTGTCATAAGGCACGAAGTTAATGAGAACTGGTTATTACCATTTAACCTCCAAATGTGCTCAACTCAACTGCACTTTCTGATATTGTGCGTATATGCGTCTGTGTGTGTCTCTGTGTATTTGTGCATGCACATTTTCATGAGCATGTGTGTTTTCATGTGCTCATTTTTGTGACCATAAGGATGCATGCATTTTACTCTATGTGCGAGTGTTTACACAATAGCACATGCAGGTGTGTGTACTTTTCTGTGTAAGAAAGTCTTTGAGTGAGTCATGTAATATTGAGATATTTGCAGTGTCACGTCAGAGAACATTCCTCTACATTGTAATGCAAGAACATCTTGTTGCATGAGGTTCAACTTGGTTGCACATTCATGGGTGAAGAGACAGCTGCAATCTCGCTTCAACATGTCAGATTCTGAACACAGGGGGCACACTATTCCTACACTCTCTCATCTCATCGTGTGAATCTACTAACTTCTTTTATTTCTTTTCGACACTTGTTCATCTTGGCCATCTGTATAATATCAGTGAATGCAGTCAACAACGATCTATTCCCTTTGCATGTTCCATGTTCCAATAAATGGGGGGAGTGTTGGATGGGAGGCTTAGCCATTTGTCTTATCAAAACAGAAGCAGATAATGCCAGCCACTATAACTGTAATACCATGCTGAAACTCATTTTTTCAACATAAAGTCAACCTTTCTCAATGCACATGTGTGAGCATCTAGACTTAGCAGACTCCCCATTGCTACGTCTTCAGCAGTGCCAGAATGATGGTACAGTGCGACTCCCATAGATTATATTCTGCGTGATCGTGGTAGACTCAGTCCCAACTGTGTAATAATCACCACTGACTTTCACAACTTTACATTCTCTTTCTGATGCCACTGCCAGTACATCAATCATGGTGTGTTTCCTTTGTGAGCAGTCTTGGCCCTACTATGTTTCCATGTGCACAGCAACCGCCCCCCAACCCACCCCACAACGCCCGACCATTCTTAGCACATAGAATCACTACAATGCGGAAGCAGGCCATTTGGATAATGGAGTCCACACAGAGCATCCGAAGAGCATCGCGGCCAGATCCACACCCGACCTCTTCCATGTAACTTTCGTCATGGCTAATCCCTAGACACCATGGGAAATTTAGCATGGCGAATCTACCTGAGCTGTATGTCCTGGAACTGTGGAAGCAAATCAGAGAAACTGGTGATAACACAGGGAGAATGTGCAAATTCCACAGCGACAGTTGCCATGTCTTGAATCAAACTTGGGTCATTGGCACTGTGAGGTAGCCATGCTATAGACACCGTTACCCTGCCACTGATAATGAAATGCCTCTGCACTGCTGAAAATGTGAAAGAATAATGAATCGCTGGATGTTCTAAGTGATTCATTTAATCAATTTAATGTAGTGAAAAACTGGAGTAAAGGGATATTTCAGCATGTTGTCCAAGTGTTATCTTAGCTCAGTCTGGGTAAGGGCATAAGTTGCAGTATCTGTGCTGCAACTCCGTATCTGTATCAACAAGCCCAAATCGATCTATCCCAGAAAAATTGTGTCACAACCGTTTTCCAGAAGAGAAATGATTTAGAAGAGATAAGAAAACAGTGAAATTATCGATTTTCTTCGAATTTCCATCTCTGGGTGTTGCTGCTCTTCCTACAGCTGTGACACCAGAGTCTTTAGTGAGTTCTACTGGTCACTGTGATGTGTCTGATGGTGAACAGTTTGAGAAAAAGAATCAAGAAAAATGCGCGACGCTGTGAGTGAAAATGTGTGACACCTCGATTAATATCAAAATTATACAATAATGATCGCCGAGCTTTAATAAAAAAACATGTGTTTGACAGCCGGTCTTCGGTTTGTAACATGAAACATCAGAAAGAAGTTTACTTTTAACAGTTAACACAATCACAGTTCCTAAAACAACTGCCGCCGTGGTCGAACTGCAATGTTTTACTTTCAGCTTGTGGCAACAGATTTTCATTAATCGTTCAGGGGAATGTATATCAAGCAGGTAAAGTTTCCAGCAAAAAAAAAGTAGGATTTTGGCTCAATGTCAGATTGGTGATAATGAACGTGAGATCTGCAATTGGCAAAAGGTAGCGTGTTACACATTTTGAGATTTCTCAGTTTTCCCATTGTAGGCTGACAATCATCACAGGTTACCTGCGAGGAGCAACATAAATGGAAATTTTGCATCAACTTACAACCGGTTTGCAATTTTGAGTGAGGGCTTACTGAAGTTGTTAAATGTTACAGTGCATTGACGGATTGAGATCATTGTACATAAAAAAAGATAAAGAAGAAGATGTCACATCTTGGTCAGAAGTGAATTTCACATGGCAAAAGCAAGACTTGATGGCGCGGGGGTGGGGAGTGCCAGAAGCAAATTGAGGTGTCAGTGGGAACTGGCAGTTTGATAGTGTATCACTGATGTAATGTCACATACTGTTCCAGATGTGAAGATGACAAAAAAAAGATTAAGAGGAATGGTTTGGATTTATATTACAAGGAGAGATGATGATAAAGCAGATGGATTCAGTCGAGGATGCCAGAATAAACAGGGATATTTCAGGAGTTATGAAGCTGGATGAAGACTGGTAAGCTTGAATCAAGGCGAGGTGACAAATGACCTAATGAAGGAGTTACCAACGTTGAAAAAGCAGAGAGCAACATTGATGAAGATATGCAACTCGCAGTGCGGTGTAATTTGTGTTGAGAGAGCTTGCAGTGACAATTAACACAGGAGCCAGTGCTAACAATGAAATTGCCACTGAGGGGACAGGGAGTCGGCAGTGTGGACGCCAGGGACAACAGGGTAGATTGTTGTTGCATGAGTTGTTGTCAGGAAACTGAGTCATAACGAGATTTGAAGAGGGAGCTTGGGATTTCCAGCTTGTGTTCCAACGTGCTTGAATGCGAACAAGCCTAGGAGTGTAGATATTGTCGTGATATGTCTGAAGTTTGAAAATTCAGAAGAGGTGGTAGAGAGTGGCAGGTGAAGTTGAAGGTGAGGCAGCAGAGGCTGGTCATGATGATGGGGTCTCAGGCTGCTAGGATAGTTGGAGACATCTGTGATGTCAGTGTTGGCACTGACAGAAGGATGAGGGGTGTAACAACAGGAGACAGAGGAGAGAATTGATAGTGATGTGGCTGGATTTTGTGGTGGCAGTGAGGACAGTGGATTTCAGATTAGGCTGTTACGATATGATATATACATGC